AAGTGCCAGAAATCAGGAAACATAGCCGCGGGGAGTCACATTCCAAAAATATCGCCCATACAGTTCGTTATGGTGCAGGGCGAAGATTTTCTGCATCCTTACATACATGACATGGAAGTTAACGGCCAAGAATGTAAAGTCTTACGCAACAAAGGTGCGACGTATGACGTGGTGCACTTTTCTCTAGTAAATTCTGGTAACTCCATGGGTTATTATGTGTGCTTAAGGAAAGCATTGGAAGAAGGCACTCTGAGCTTACCAGTAGCGAAAGTAATATTGAAAGAGGCGTTTGGTGAAATTAAAACCGAAGCAGCCGTCTCGGATAGCGTACTGCCATAGTGCCCATATTTGCTATCAAACAGAACCACAAAAGAGTTGCTAAATGCAGGCGTCACACTCGATATGAACCCTGTAATGGTTGTCACGAGGTCTATGGCGAAAGCAACTGCCGCTCACCAAGAGCCTCCGTCACGCGCTGTCAATGCCCAAGATCAAAAACGCACTCAATCAAATAATAGTGGTGATCAAAGCTCAGACATGCATGAATCTGCCTACGAGGAAGGCGAACAGGCACAGTTTTTCATTCCTCGCACGAGCGTTGATTTTCAGGTGCTATCTTCAGTCGACAAAATGACATTGATCGAGGAACAGAAAACTGATTTAACCTTGTAAAAATGCCACCAAAGTATTAAAAAGCAAGGCGCAGGCAGTGGTTTATTTTTAAAAAAAAAATGATATTTTATCCAGTGAGTTTCGGGGCAAGAAAGGCGCGAGTATTGACCTAATCGTGGTCCTGCTGAAGTACCGTGAAAACATTCTAGAACTTTCTCATTGGGCAGGTTGGTCAGGTCATTTTGGAATTACCAAGAGAAAAGCGAGACTGCTGAGTGAATATTACTGACCGGGCTGTTTTAAAGACGTGGAGCAGTTTGTTTTTAGTTGAGATGTTTGTCAGCGAATTGGCAGACCACACGAAAAACAAAAGGCGCCTATGACTGCAGTTCCTATAATCACTGAGCCGTTTCGTCGAGTCGTGGTTGACATTTTGGGGCCCCTCCCAGTGATGAAGTGAGGATATAAATATCTTTTGACGATGGTGTGCCCTGCTACTAAATTTCCTGAGGCATTGCCGCTGCGTTGTCGTACATTGGCAAAAATAGCAGATGCCCTTCTTTTGATCTTATCCCACGTGAGTTTGCTGAGCGAAATACAGTTCGATCTAGGCAGTGTCTTCACAAGTGAGTTGATTAACAGGCGCGGTATCAAGATACACCACAGCTCTATTCAACATCCGCAAAGCAACAGTGCAGAGGGGATTCATTCTGTAATGAAGCGGGTATTGCGAGCTTTGTGTTACAAGCAAAAAAAAAAACGAATGGGACACTGCGTTACCAGCTATCCTTTTTGAATTACGTTCGGTAGCACACAAATCGACAGGATTTAGTCCAGCAGAGCTTGTGTACGGAAGGGTGCTGCGCTCCCCGCTTAGGCTAGTTCGCGAGAACTGGGAAGATAAGGGTAGCGATCAGACTGTCGTAGAGTACATTTGGAACCTACTGCAGCACTTGTACAACACACAGTCTCTGGTGGAAGCTAATATGCTTGAAGTGCAGACAAAAGCAAAAAAGCGTTACGACAAAAAAGTAAAGCGCGCAAGTTTCACGTGGAACTCAAGGTGCTCATGTTGCATATTTAGCTAACAAGCTGGAGGTACACTGGGAAGGCCCCGGGACGATACAACAGAAACTGTCAGACACAACCTATGTAGTTAAACTGCCAGGTCGTAGAAAAGAAGTATGTATCTATCAAAGCAACCTCATGAAGCCTTAAGTAGAGAGCATGCAGGTTGTGAACTTAGTGTTAAATCAACCCGAAGAAGTAGCAGCTCAACTTCCTGATATTCCTCAAAGACATGACTTCTTTTTCTGTGGATGAAATCCTTAATTTTACAGCAGACAGAGCTGCTCTGGATGAAAATCAGCTGGTAGATTTAACAGATACGATAGCAGATTACATACCAGGATTCTCAAAGGTCCCCAGCTGGACCACTCTGACGACTCCTGATATAGAGTTTATAGCTGAAGCTGACCACCCATCTGTGGATGAAATTCTTAATATTACAGCAGACAGGGCTGCTCTGGGTGAAAATCAGCTGGCAGATTTAACAGATACGGTAGCAGATTACATACCAGGATTCTCAAAGGTCCCCAGTTGGACCACTCTGACGACTCCTGATATAAAGTTTATAGCTGAAGCTGACCACCCAACGTTGCACAGCATCAGGCAATGTAATGTTTACAGATGTTCACCCCCCCACAAAATGTTGATGAGAAAAGGAGTTGATCAGATGCTGGCGCTTAAAGCGGCCGAACGAGGTAAAGGAAGCTTCATGTCCCCAATGATAATTATAGAAACCAATGGTAAAGAACCGCGGCTGTGTATCAATTACCGTAAGCTTAACTCCGTGACTGTTCCGAAAGCACCTCTCTTGCCGCAAGTAGAACACTGCCTTGAAAAGGTGAGCGAAGCTAAGTTCATGTCTGTGCTGGATTTAGTGCGAGAGTACTGGCAAGTGCTCCTAACAGAACGAGTGAGCGATTCGGCTCTTCATGACTCCTTTCGGTACCTTCCGGCCTTTGGTTCTCCCATTTGGTCTTAAAGATGCCTCCTTTGCCTTTTAGAGACTTATGGATCAGGTGCTAGCCGGAGCAGAGGCATTCGCACTACCATTTCTTGACGACATCACAGTATTCTCGAATAATTGACCAAAACATGTGAATCGTCTACGGGAGGTTCTAAGTAGACTTGAAGGGGCTGGCCTAACTTTAAAAACCCAGAAGTGCAAATTAGATCACTCAGAAGTTGACTACCTAGGTCACAGTTTGGGACAAGGGTATCGAAGCCCACTTGATTTAAAGATTGCGCCAATCAAGGACTTCCCTACGCCATAAACGAAAACGGAGCTCGAAAACGGAACATTTTTGGGTAAGGTAGGCTACTACCAACACTATATCAAGTGTTTCTCTCAGGTGGCCAGCCTACTTACAGACGTGCTGGAAAAACACGCTCCTAATCTTGTAAAATGGGGCGAAAAAAAAAAAAACAAAAAAAAAACAAGCTGCGTTTAAAACTTTGAAGGTAGCTCTCACTGCCAAGCCCGTCCTGGCAAGCCCAGACCACTCGAAATTCTTTCTCGTGCAGTGCGACGCAAGCAAAAAGGGGCTGGGTGTAGTTTTGAGTCAGGAAGACGAGCACGGCCATAAGCATCGCATTTTGTACATAAGCTGAAAGTTGTCTGCTCGCGAACAAGCTTACAGCACCATAAAAAAAAGAATGCATGTGTCTCGTTTGGGCTGTAGAAAAGCTTCCCTGTTATTTGGCTAGTCCTGAATTCATTTTCATCACGGATCTTCGCCCGTTCATGTGGCTTCAACAGATGCCCAACGAAAATGGCAGGTTGTTACGTTGGAGCTTCAGTTTGCTACCGCACTCGTTTACGGTTAAACAGAAGAAAAGATTGCTGCACGCAAATGCAGATGGTCTGAGCAGGGCTTTCTCTCCCTCTGCGTTGGTCAGCATAGTGGCACTAAAGCCTTGATTCAGAATTCATATGCAACTGTAACTGACGCAGGTCCTCGACAGACAATTTTGTTTCCAATTGGAAAGTTTCCAAAACACTCTGCTTGTTAGAGTCTGGCCTGGCCGAGATCAGCAGTTGTTTGTGGTGTTCGTGGGAGTGCTTGCTGTTTCGCCTATGCCCAGGACCCTGGCCCAGAATTTGTGCACTTGGTGACTCCTGCAATTTTCTGGAATGCCATGCACTCCACGTTTCGGCATATCGGCCGTTGAGACCTCTGGACCCTGCGCACGTTCTTAAGGAACGCACCCTTCGACTTGGAAACCGAGCATTGCGTCATCTGACCTCGAAGGGTCAGAGGCCACATCGCTGGATTCTTCCAGACGTGGGTCGCCAAGTACTTCGATGCTTCTGTGCACCTCGAAACTACTCGTCAGGAGCACAGCCAGCCAACTGGTTAGACTCCCCGAAAGTTGCCCCTACGTTGAATACTTCTATGAACTTTGTGAAAAAAATAACCAGTTTGTGTACAGACATTTCTTTCCCCCTTGGTGCTCTTCTGTGGGGAGGGGCTGTTCGATTGCACACTGCTCGCTGCTTATCAGCCAGCGCGCAAGTCTGGCTTATCCGCTCCGGACGATAGTCTGTTGTCGTGCATGTGCCTTGATGTGCATTCCTGCCCCCTTTGAATAATACCCCTGTTCAACAGGGTAACTTGCATGCACTTTGACGAGAGCACTTCACCGCTAGTGTCAATCACAGGCTGTCACATGAGAATGCATTGTGACACTGGCTGCAAAGCACACTCGCCAATGAGTGCGTTTGCCAAGCTCGCTTTGCTGCAGCGGAGTGTCTAGCCTCTATAGCAGTGGCTAGAGAATAAATAAGTCATTATATGATTCTGAGTCTATAGTATTCTTTAAACTATCGTTTTCGTTAGGACTACTCTTATGCATCAAAACGTATGACACCAAAATCAACTACTTCTATATCTTCGCTCCTTGGCAGCTTATAGTATGGCCGCCTGGAGCATGCCCAGCACATGCCATGCAATGGCTACAGCCACCGTGTTTGTACGCAAAGTTTATTTGAAGGGCTGCTTACAGCTATAACACATTATCAGTTAAGAAACATTGCCTGGAATGATGAATATCTGTTGTTTAGCTTAAGTAGTGATCAGCATTACCATCATTTCTAAAGTACATTCCCTTTTCTCGTGTAGAAACGCTACCCAAGCAACACTCTGGGGGGGAGTAAGTGCGCTCGCTCAAAATGACACTAAATTTCCGAGTGTGATCGGAGTATAAGAGCCCTACTGAACAAAGACTGAAGTTGCAAAATGAAACTACTTTCAGAAATCAATCAGCATCGAACTTTTTTTAATAGTGCAAATAGTTATTATTAAAACGAGCCGTAAACTCACATGCTGCCTGGCCCTCCATCAACAGCTACAGAGAGCTGTTCCCAAGGCTCGTCACGGGCCAGCTCGAATTTTTGCACCATGGTCTCAATCGTCAGTTCAGGCACAGGTAATAGCCGAGTGGCATTCCTTTGGATAGCCTGTTCGGCAGAGCACAGCAGAAATACCTGGCAGAAGCCCAAAGAGTCTGCAAGAGCAGAGAGGACACAAAAAAATGGGTAGCTATGTACACAATTACATGCCCTAGAAAATAGCCTCTCCCTCAGTTCCCGCCTGCTTATGGTCAAATGGAAGGGATGACAAAAAAAAAAAGTGCCAAAGTAATAATATTATGATGCACGTAATTGTAGGGGACTTTTATTCAGCTAACCTCAACATAAAAACACTGGCGCTTTTAAGTCTGTATGTGATAGCAGCCTACAATAGATCAAACAAAAAGAAAACAATCTACTATATATAACGCAACATCCTCCTCCACATTATATTTCCCGGCCACAAAGATTTTATAAGGAGTTTTACTGCTTACCACTTGATCATTTAAATTGTGGAAGGAGTAAAGTTGGCACTAAAGTACATCCCGATTTAGGTTGGACGCTATGTGTACTTAATAATTCAGAACTTAGAAAAACATATTTCAAAACCCATTGCCAAATTGATGTCGGTTTGACACAACGTAAGAATGCCGAAATCGCACCATTAACCCAGAAATGACCAAGAGAAGTCTTTTTACAAGCTACCCACATGCATGATTTGTATAGACAAGTTGGGACTTACACTTGCGGGCCAGTTTGAACCATGCAGCTCGCATGCTGCGGTAGTACAGATTGTCATCAACCATGATTAAAGGTTTCCCGTCAGGCTTCTGTCCTCTTCTTGTAGCCTTTAGGCGAACAAGCATTTCCATTAGAGGGTCAGTACACATAGGGCTTGGTTGACAGTCCTCCCCACAAAGCCATCCAATGTAGTAGTCGGATGCTTCAAGCAAGCGCTGACGGGATTCCTTAGTAAGGCCTTTGCTCTGTGCCTGGGTCAAAATTTGCCACAAAACAAAGCTGTATAGGCTTAAACTGTACGCAGCAAAAACACCTCAGGATCAACAAAAATGTCTATTAGCAGCACCATAAACATCTGCTGGTACTGGATATTGTTGATTACCAGTGCTGTGGAAGCTTTCAGAACAATACAGCTTTATAACAATAATAATAATAATATCTGGGGTTTTGTGTCTTGATACCCCGATTTGGCCTCCAGCAATTTGCCTCCACTGAAATACGACCACCGCAGCTGGAATCAAACTCGCAACCTTCGGGTCGTCAGTCGAGCGCCTTAACCACCACTGTGGACGAACCCTTTCATAAGAGACATACACTGGGGAGCAATTCTTGTTCTTTAGATGAGGTGTATCTTAAGCCAAACTTCTTGGACATGGTCAGAAAATGCTGCCAAGTGGTAGTCGAGACTCCTGTAAGCATGTGAGCCAAAGATTATAGTACAGCATGTGGCATGAAACTTACAATTAAATTTCAGATAAAAATAACTCGCTCTACAAATGATGCTAAATACCCCACATACACTGAATTGCACACCCAAAACCACATGGGCACTGCAATTAGCTGATGCAAGCATCATGAACTGCATAGTTACCACAGCCTCCATGAAGTGCTTGGAAAATTAGCCATGAATTCTAAGAATACAAAATAATGTGCTCAAAATCATGACACGCACTGATGTACAGACGTTTCTTGCCCCCCTTTTTATCTCACCCTGTTTAGCTTTCAGCTCATGGGATAAAAAGAGAAAGGGAAAGCACTTAGAGCGTGGTATAAATCCCTGTAGCTCCATTCTTGCTTGATATATATTATAAAAATTTTTGCTGCAGATTTGAGATGCAATAATCTGTAATAGCAAGGTCATTTGATAGTTACTTGAAGAAATATAACAGGGCGCCTTAAATTCATTCACAATATTTTACAATTGTTAGCCTAAGGATAAAATGCTACGGTATTTTTTTTATGCAACATGTATGAGACAACTGTTTTATAAAAATTCATCAATACTTCCTTTTGGGTGAGTTCGTTCATTTATACAGCAAGGAAAGTGTGTGTTTGTGCTGGCAATTCTGTGCTCCTTGATTCTAAAATTTGAACATTACAGCTTGTTTCTTGCGTTTACTTACACATATGACTCAACTCTCTGTGTAGTTGTGTTATATTTGTGAAGAATACAATTTATGCTAGTTTTCTTTGGTGCTCATACCTGAATATTCTTTAATCATGATGTATCTTTCTGCCAAATCTGCCCGGCCATATCTCACACACTTTTGTGGGCTTAGACAGGCCTGATGATAACCGTATAACTCTCCTGCAGTAATGAAGATATTATGCTATTATCTAAAGATTATTTCATTAGAGGTATTTTAAACACTGCCTAATAATTATAGGCTTCTTATGAGTGTGCTACAGCAATATTATTATCAATATGGTAAATCAAATTACTGGTAAATTGCAGCAGAGAAACACAGAGCGAAAACAGAAACGAGACAACGAAGGAGCCCTACTTCTGTCATGGCGTATTCTTGTACAATGATTTGCCAATAATACTGTGTGAACAAACTCAAACAGCCCATCAATACAGCAGATCTAGGCCAACCTTGCACCGAGTCATCATTTTATTATCTTCAGTGACATCATCTCTCCCCGAGTCATTTACTTATTATTAACACCTTTTTTTGTACAAAGTTCTTTATCATGATACAACAAATAACCTAGATGTTAAAATTGTTTGCGACAAAAGCCTAGCCTTGCTTGTTGGTTTAAATCAATACACATGTACTCGAGAACAGCACTAACAAATGCAAAGCCTTAAATTTTTTACACACTAACAGACCTTCTGGTAACTATTACCATACTTTTAGCATTGCTTTCTTAGATACTATGACTCCTTATGAGCACCTTAAAATTAATATAAAAACTAACCTTAGCCAAAAGTAGCACTTTAACAATGCTATTAACAACAAATATGATACTTTTTAAATGAGTGCTCGTAATAGACAAGTAGCAAAAACTACGAGGCAGCTTTCTTACACAACAAAAATTAATGTAAAGTGGTATTGGCTTGCATTCTTACTACAATTATTACATGCAGTACAGCGTTTCCCTTGTTTGTCCATGTCAGGGCTAGAGAGGTGTCTCTCCACCCATCATCGTGCATTAATGCACAATAACGGTACTTCACACACTCACTACACTGCACGTAACGATTACTCCGAGAACGAGAGACACCGCCCTTGTGCCTGAATTTCTATTGTGCAGAAAACATGCCTTGCACTTTTTCCAACGAGTTAGTAACAAATGGGGGACTTATTTCCACTTAACCCGGTGCAAATGTGCAAGGGCGTGATTTCCAGCTGCCAAAGTCGCATTTCAATAAAGGCAAAATAAGAAATGCTTGCATATGCGAATTTAGGAGCATGCGGATATAGATCAATATAGAGCTCTCCATGTGTTTCCATTATAACCGAGTGTGCCATTAAGAGATGTTATACCAATAGTTGAATGTTAATTCAACACAATATTTTACATTTTAATTTTCTGAAGTTTTTATTATATACGTCATGTCCATCAAATACCTACACATTATCATCATTATATTTTCACATCTACTGCAGAGCAAAGGCCAATCCCAATAATCTCCAATTTATAATGCCCTGTGCCAGTAGATTGCATTCTATGTCTGCTCATTTCTTAATTTCATTAGCCCAACCATAGGCTGGCTTACACAAACCTCATTGCTAATGAAATACAATTATTAAAACTAAAATTTATAAAATACATAATTCAATGGTAAAACAAGAGCAACACGTATCTGCTTGACTTGTGTGAACCGATGGCCGAGATTTACAGTAGTAGTAATGCTGATGTATCAATATATACTTTTTTTCGCTCAGTGCTGAGGAAAAAACTGGCATATACACTATATCTAGCACCTACTGAATTTCAATGAACGAGAGATTGTTGTACTTTCAGTTGCTGCAATTACAATACCTGAACGCAAAAGTGCATCACAGTTCCCATAGATCCGAGCACATTTAAACAGTGGTGACGCGGCAGCAAATCTACAGTAGATGTGATGTTGAGAGAGCATTCACAAAAGTATGTTACAATCAGTGCTTAAAGTCTCCGTCAAAAGGCCCGCTCTCATGTGTACATGGATTGTCGGTATGTATTTGTATGCATGTGCTTCAAACACGACAAGCATAATGAACAAAGAATGGGCACAGAAATGCTCGAAATGTACATGGTCATATATAGCCAACTGTAAAAATTTGACGATATGTGGGGTTTAACGTCCGAAAACAACCATATGGTTTTGGGACGTTAAACCCACATATCGTAACCATATGATTACAAAAGACACCATAATTCAGGGCTCCGGAAATTTCAACCGCCTGGAGTTCTTTAACGTACACCCTAATCTGAGCGTACAGGCCTACAGCATCTTCCTTGAAAATGCAGCCGCAGCAGCCAGGATTCGATCCCGCGACCTGCGGCTCAGCAGCCAAATACCAAGTACCTTCGCCACTAGACCACCGCGGCGGGCAAGTGCAAAAGTTTAAAAACTATGAAAGCATGTGCTAAACTGCATGTCAGTACCTTGTAGCAGTGCACCACCTTCCAACAATTGCAGCGCTGAACTAGAAACGGGTCTTGTTATTTACTGGCATATCGATTTTGAACTGCCGCATAGAGTATTGTTAGTTGTTTATTTTCACGCATAGTGCTGTGGTAAGGCTATCTCACTTCTACTTTCCACAGCAGTTGCAGTGTGCCTTGATTAGGGTGCCATAGGGTTGCCATTAGTTTGTGAGAAAGGTGACACTGATAACTGGTATTTTCATATACTGCTCAAGAGGCAGAATCGTGCATACCCACGTAGCCATGGCTGCTGAAGAGCGAGTCATGTTAAAAAGGAAAAGCTAGGGAATATTAGTATCCAGAGAGTGAATAGACAGGCCACAGGTTAAGGGAGGGATACGTCTTGGTTGTGGCGCTGCCATAGGTCATTGCTGACATGGCATAACTATCATCAAGAGGCTGTTGGCCATGCACTCAAGCGGTGTGTAAAGTTTTGTGGTTAATTGTGCATGCAGAAGAGCTAGAATGATATGAAGGAGTGTCAGAATTTTTGTGAAACAAACCCATATACACTACAATTCTTTAACACAAACGTATAGAGGAGAATTGAAGTAAACTGGGGGTCATCAAGAATGCATCTATTGGTTGTTCTTGTTTATGTACTTTAATAGTGTAAATAATGCCTGTGAGTGAGAATTTCTATGGTTAAGTCTGTCATGAGTAGTAGCCGACTTTCAGTGCAGATTCCTTAAAATAAACACGCTTGTCACCATGCAGTGACTATGAATTATTTGTGTTAAGACCGCGAAAAAAAAAAAAAAAAAAACTTGGCTTGCCAGATAACAATGTCAAGATTTCTCCTTTCTGGGCTCTAAAAGCAACACCCGATACTCATGACTTCTAAGCAAGGTCGAAAAGACAACTCCCTCTCCCTCTGTCACCAGAACGAATTTCATTAAACATTAGTTTTTAGTTAGTCTACTTGCACTCTCTCTCTGAATAACACTCGGATCGTTTAGAATAGCACCCGCGCTTCAATTTTTTTTTTTTTCGAAACCATAGTACATTTTCGTGCCACTTGGAAATATTTTCTGCTCGCTCTCCACAATATTTTCCACTTTTACAAAAAAGTGTTCTTAGACATGGTTCTGGCGACTTCATGTCATGTGTTTCCCTTGAACCAGAAATAGAAAAGGTGTTACGTTCTGGCTCTAATTGTTACCGTGAAAATGGTTCTTCACTGACAGGTACGCTTGTCTAAATGTCGACAGTTTGATGCGGGGATTTGCAATGATGTCACGGCTTCACTATTGCGATACCACCCGCGCAAACAAAACCAGTGGTGTTTACCATTACAGCTTGTGCATCCGTGCTCACGAGTTCGTCATAGCGAATGACACACGGGTACCAAGGGACACCACGCGCTTCACGACTTTCCAATAAAGAACTGATTTGCTGCACCAGGGTAGTTTTCCCACTGGCTGGTAAACCGCAGAAGAGTGCCAGCACAGAGGCGTGATCAGCAGTCATCTTGCAGATTTGCGGTTCACCTCATCACGGAACACCTACCAGTTTACCTCATATTCAAGCAAAACACCGGTGTTCGTAGGGTGCGGTCAGTGCATCCAAGCCATAAGCAGCTGACCCGGCGCCATTTTCTGAACGTATGGTCTTCTATGGAACCTGCATCTAAAAACCCTTCCTGCATTAGAGCACTGTACCTGCATCTACATTGGATGCTCTCTGGTGGCCGAACGTTTACCCCCACCAAAGCGTTCATACCCCCGGCAGTGAAAGCACAGAACACCTGTGAAAACCGCAAGAATATCAGACGAAGGAGTGGTCGGACTTTCACGTTTAGCAGCCGGACAAAGAGGTTGGTAAAAGAGTTTCAGAGCAACGAAAACACGTTTATATACTACATGGGGATGTCGGCTGTCGCACGAGAAGGGTGAAAAAAATAGCTGTAGTATATTTTTTATGGCCACGAAGGAATATACGGCCCTGGGCCACGGAATAGGAAAAATTCCTAGGTAGGTCAAGATATTCGAAACAAATTTTAAAACAAAAAAACGTCATGTTTTACAAACTTTAAAACGTACTTAGATAACTTACCATTACGTATTATGTATGTAAAAATATTTATTATGATAGGTGTTGTAAAAACAAAAACATTCGGTTTCGGATGAATTCATCAGGTATTGAAAAAATGGTGATAACTTTTGAGCGACTCAAGATAGCTTAGTAATTTTCTTAAGCGAGTTTTTAAAGATGGTGACCATAGAGTTTCTTATAAACTTACTGTGAGAAACTCTACGTATGAAACTCTATGGTGGTGTCTAAGGAGGTTATATACTATGTCTCCTGGAGAGGAGCTGCGCCCCGATAAAAGACGCTGGTCGCCGCCATACTGGAAAAGGAAAGACTCGGAAGCAGACGACAAAGTGCGCTTCGTAGCTCCGCCCTCGCAGTGGCCTTTGGAGAATGTGACATGCTTTTGTACAGCAGTTAAAGACTTTACAAGGCCACAGTTACTTCGTGCGTCGCTTATGGCTGCACAAATCGCATAAAGACGACTCCTGGGATCACTCTTTACGTGTAAGTATTCTCGCTTTGTTCGCTGACGATCGCCTGTTTTTTCGCGTATGCTGTTAAATTAGCAACAATATAAAAGGTGCGCATGCGTGTAATACACGCGTAAAGCTGCATGGAAGGTAACTTGAAGCTTTAAATGCTCGCTGACTCGACGTTTTCTATGAGTTTTAAGTTTATGGACGAAGCACTAGCTTGCGGTCTATGACTGCACGTACCAAACATTGGAACGAGTAGGATGTCTGAATGCCCTTTGAATTCCAAGTTTTATGGTGTTCTCTTACAAGGCAAGACTGACGGCGTGCATGCATATTTTTTGGCGAGTGAGTATCGAATTCGGTGCATGTTTATCCAGGAATTCGCAAACGTAGAAAATAATACCATGCCGTGATTATCCGTGTTACAGGTTTCCGAAAGACAGTGCGCTGCGTTCTGCCTCGGAACGTGCTGTTCGAAGAAATAGTTGGATAGCTACGGACGGTGACCACCTCTGTTCTATTCACTTCGAAGAGTGCTGCTTCGACAGAACGGGGCAGACAATAACCAAATTGTGGCCTAGCAGTGCACCTTCGATTTTTCCTGCTTTCCGAGCGCATCTGCAAAAACCTGTTAGTTTCTACCTCCTTGACGTCGCTTCAATAGAGTGAAGTCACGAAAATAAGCTATTGCGTCTAAAACAAGATGAGACATCTTTGAAATCCGTTCTATTTCGCCGACGAAAACGAAACCAAAACGCCGATATACGGAGTTGCCAAAATCTGTGAGTGGCGTGATATCAAATATCGAGCTACTTCGCTTCTAGGCTCTGAAGGCTGCGCTTGTCATGACAACACACGTCGCCAACGGAACTTGATAAATATTATGCAGAACTAACGCCACTGCAATCGTTCTTTCAAACGGTTCATTTGGGGTACGTCTCCTGGAGTTTGTCGGTTGCACGCGACATCGGTGCTTCGGTTTTGGTTCCGCCTGTGAATTGGTTAGAATTTGATCACTTTAGAAATATTACTGGTGACTCCCAGTTTACCTAATTACCTCTCTTTTCTAACTTTAGCTTTAGTTATTTCAGCTTCCTAATGCATATTCTCTGGTAATCTGCCGAACACACACAAGCACATATATGAAAGAGGCAAGCAAATGTCGTGTTTTCCTTTATCTTGAGTATCTGCAGGCACATTTCTTAATACACCCAATATATACTACAACCCTAGTACTGCAATAGTGCGCCAGCAAGCTCGATATGCGAAGCATCCCTCATCGCGTCATCGACTTACACGTCCCGGACGGCCCCGGAGGCCGGTGCCGCATTCGTTTTTCTCAGGGACCAACTGGAAGCTCCGCCCACTGGTCCGGGATCACTCGGACGCATGTTCGTTTTTCGCGTGCCTGGCGGCCTGCGGGCAGCCTGGGACCGTGCGAACAATTTCTTTCGGGCAGCTGGCAGACGACAGCGTGGTGCGCACGCTGTGCGGCCATCTTAAGTTAGACACGGGAAATTTTCGATGCGCTATTGCTCTCTCTTTGCTTTTCTGTCCGCTTCTCGCATGTTTCTGGATTTCGCATTGTTAGCGCACCCAGTTCTTGTCATCGCTGTTCTGACCCACGTCGAGCATGTGCGTATTCCCGAAGGTCGGGCAAACACGCGTTATGCTCGCTAGGAGAAACAGCGGTGGAACGGCCGCGCCGGTCTACGATGCGCACGCGCTCGAGTAGTTCACTTACAGTAAGTTGCATCATAACAGAAATAGGTATAATTCACTACCTAACTGCTGTTTAGGTTTCAAATGAGTCAGCGTTGTGGCCTATGTCACAGCTATGGAGGGAGCAGACGGCATAGCCAGGCGTAGCAGACGCCACAGCGGATGCAGTCAGCATCAGGCGCGCAGATGGCCCGGGGCGCGAGTTTACGAAGACGAGCGGAGAGAGCCCCCACATGCACCACGGCCCAGCGCTCTTGGAGGCTATGCATTTCCGCCGGCCTAACTGTGTCATCGCGCTGTCGCTCCCCGCACTTTCGCATAGCGTTGCCGGGAGGCTGCTGCACCAGCGGGGGGCCTTGCTCGCAAAGGAAAGCCCTGCCAAGGCTTTTGGACCTGCGCCGAGTTGAGTTGGATACTCGCGAAGAAATCGTGTGCGCCCACTTTGTCGCCTCTCGCAACCGAAAACCGACTCGTTCATGACGCAAGTGGGCACTGGAACGATGTGAAGAAAAGGAAAACCCTCTACGATTGACATCTCACTAAGTGCGCGCGCCTTGTATCGCCGCTGCGCTGCTCTCCTCGCTCTGCCCAAAGTTTTGCCGGCCTGTTATCAATGATGTAAGTTTGGATGTTTACTAAGTCATATGCAATCAACACAAAACGACGCAATGGCGTACTTGTTGCAAGCCTTGCCCCGTCGCTGGTCAGAAAAACGGGTTTCGGGAAAATCACACTCCGCTACGTCGCGGACGTCACTTCAGCGTTAATTAGCTTTAGCTGATGCTCAGCACTAACTTCTAAGCTACGCATTATGAATAGGGAACATGCCATGCTACACGAAGACCTTCCAAACGCCATTGTGCGGCTTAAAACAAGTAAAGCTTCCGGCCTCGCCCGTTCGTATATTCAACGCTTCCTTGGTATATTACACGGACAAGATAATACGCCATCATTAAGGCAAAAGAACGGGCCGCCTAGTTATATATTAAGTGATTATCAAGCCGTGAACACGTCACGAAGAGGCGATTTTCGAGAGCCATGTCCTCGCGACGCACACGCAGCAGACGACGATCTCCCGGAGCGAGCATCGGGCCAATGGCGAGGCGAGCTGAGGCAACATGGCGGCCACGGCCAATCAAGGGCCTCAAAACGACCTTCAAACATTAGCTTTTTGCTCGCTTGTTGGTAAAGGGAGGAGCCAGTTGAGGCGGAAAAGTTAAACACGGAGAAATGCTCTTACCGATGAGCCCAAGAAGCCGGCTCCCGGCCCAAGCATCGCGAAGATATAATTTTTTGAAAATCGCCATTTTCTCGCCATTTCCAGAAAAAGTTTTGCTACCTAGGTGGGTGAAACGAATTTTCCGAAGCACTTCTGCGCGGTTTTCAGTGTAGATATTTTAGAACCAGATAGAAAAAGGGTTTCAGAAACTGAGAACTTGAGTTTCAAAAAATCGATTTTTTTTTTTTTGCCATTTTTCGCGATCCCAAAGCCGCGTCCCCCCTTAATCTCTATACGAAGTTTCGATTCAGCAAGGCATTATACAAGTATCGATGTTCATATGCCTCATGACTGGCATGTGTGCTTGCACAAGTTTTTCACTGCCATTCAGCGTTGTTGCAAGTATTGTACTGAGCATGTGTTCCTCTCTCCCCCTAAAATATCCCTGGTGACAGCACTGTTGCAAGCACCTTAAATGAAGCAATACAGGCAGACTACAGTGCCAAATGCATGAAACATCTCGACATTGAGGTCTCGTCATACAAACTAGCTAATCTCAAACTTTGCGAATGATTGGGCTACGGCCCAAGTGGTGCAAGGGTTTCTTGAGAGAAGAAAAAAAAGTAATAAAAGTTAACTGCTCTCTTAGCCCTTTCAGATACCACCTATGAAGAACTGTATGTACTTATGTGAAACTGACATTTCAAGGCACTCAATATTCTATTGCAATAAAAATAGCGGCATAACACGAGGTGCGTTCAAAAAGAAACCGAACTTGTGCTTTGCTGTAGTCTTTGACTTTGTTTCTCGGCCACAAATATGGCCAAACAAAAAATTTTATCTTGGAAATGCCGCCTGCTGCCTTAGTCCATTCACAACTATGCGACATCTGGTGGAGGTGGTTTTTTTTTCATGTTCTGGGCGCCCCCATCAAGCCATGAACCCAGCTCCAGTGCCAAAAAAGATACCCGCCAACCTTGAGCCTGACATCATCAACTTCTTCAAACATAAATCTTTTTCAGATTACTGCATAATTTTTCAATAAAGTAAGCAGTGGTAATGGCAGTTCATTTCTCCAATCTTACCTCAACACTGTAGCAGCTTGGTGCAGCACATGGCAAATAGATTTAAACATGCGTAAATGTAAGCAAATGTGCGTAAGAAGATATGCAGACATCTTGCTAACATACTAGGGAAATGTCCTACACAATCGGGTCAGCTCATATAAATAATTAGGTGTTCTTATCACATTGAACTCACCTCAGGCACCTAACACTGAACATGTTACTAATAATGCCGATTACAATTTAGGCTACATACATTGCAACTTTTCAAAACCACGATATACACTAAAACTACTATATGAAACATTATTACGTCCCAAACTTGAATATGCCTCTTCTGTGCGAGACCCTTGCCACGACAACTTGATTCACTTATTTGTACAAAATAACTCCATCTGCTTGAAACCTTCTCACTGTAATTGCATTACTGGTATAACTTCAATGAAATCCAGCCGAAGCCTTGCTTCTTTTGCACCCCCTTGGAAAATATCCTACTTGGCTTCATTTCACGAATTATTCTGTCATACCACCCTGCATGACCAACTAATCCTGAATCCTCAGTACATATCCCATTGCAATGACCTCGTCATAAGGTTGGCATCACATTATGCAACTCCCAGTGTTTTCATCTTGTACATTGGTACATTGAAACCAACTACCTGAACACATGTCACTATTAGTAATTGTTCTCCAATAAACTTTGCTCAGTATTCTGTAATTATCCAAAATAGACTAACTAATATTTTGTATTTACAGGCTGAATTATGTATTGTTTGTTGTCCTTACACAGCTAACATTGTATAATGATGAGTTTATTCTTTGTTTAATAACTTCTCATGCTGCATTTTCCTTGTCTACTTTGTAACCAGTCCCCTCTATTAATGTTGTAAGGATTTTGAGAGTAAATAAAATAAAAATAAATATGCAACTGTATGCTGCAAAACGAAGTTAAATGAAGAGATTAGAAAGTCAATATAGTTTGATGTTTCTTAGCCCCTACAAATACAAATAGAAAAATCAAGTGGTGTACACAATTGTGTACATAGTGTGTCAAACGGTTGACATTCACGCAGCATTCCTTGCAAGCACTGAAAGCCGATGCTTTAGTCCTTTTTATGCCAACTTAATCGGATTTCAGGGGTTTGCACTCCTTTAAGAAGTGGAGTTCGCTTGTTTGGTATTAAAGAAAACCAACTTCATGCTTCAAAAACTAACATTTTTCAGGCAAAGTAATATGAAGTATCAATATTTTCAGGCTTGCTCTTGTAGTTGTTACAGTTCATTCATAATTTTAGTGAAGTAAAAGGTTAAGTTATGTGACAGCTTTGTGTTAGTAACAACAACAAAGCATTCAGAAATACTACACAAAGGCAGCTGCTGTCCCTATCACAGTACATGTCCACAATGAGGAGAACGTTAGTATACCTTGTGTAGCACATGTGAGAAAAAGACTCGACAGGTTTTCACACAACCAATGTTTTCTTTATTTTCTGTCCCCCTCGCGCCAGTATTGCTGCTGCATCGCACGTGATCACGCGCATCCTCTTCTTCCACCACGACGCAATCCCCTCGCTGTTGGTGGCACTACAACCCAGTGGCATTCAAGCCCTTAGCGCTGAGGTTCACACTGTTTTTGGTGGCCAGCCTGCAAGTAGGAAAGATACCAAAGTGTTTTTAAGTATCGAGTTCTGTGATCTGCTTTCAAGTCAATTTTTATTCTAGTTTCTCAGAACTTTGCAAGGAAATATGAGGAAATGGAAACAGTAAGCAATCCTAGATGTATCAGAACTATAGTACAAGTCAAAAAGAAGGCAGGAAATTGAACACACAGAGAAGCACACAAGCAGCACAATAAAGAGGACCCCAAGACATAATGCATACAACACTATGAGAAGTGCATTGTCGATGACAGCTTTTTAATAACTAAGCTTACCAGATATATTTTCGGCAAGCAGCACACCTATAGGGTACTGCACATGGAGATGCATGTCAACTGTGGGCACACAGTATTGAGTTAACATGGCTCACATTTTTCTATGCTTCATGGGCATGTAGGACTGCCTTGTGGGGGTGCGTGGCAATGGATGACGGAGCTTGTGCGCTGAGAAGCAACAAAGGTGGCTCAATAAGGAATGAAAGCACCATTTGCAAGAAAAAAAAAAGAGAGTTCAATTATTTTTGTATTAACGGCGTGTTACTATTATATCCTTATTGTACCAAACTCATGAAAATGAAAATTGGTGATTTTATTATTTACAAGTAAGCAAATACACAAGTGAAATAAAAACTGTCTGTTTGCATCATGCTGTTTGCGTCTATGCTTGACGCATAAAGTGTTATCTTTGTTGTGCCATTCTCCTGTAGATACCTTCAGTGTTCTCTCACGGGACAGTTTTCATGTTAATAAATTATTATCTCATGTATTGCACATTTATTTTTGCATGGGTATAGTGGTTACAACAGTTGGCAGCTGTGATTTTGGTAAGCTTCGCCCTAACACATTCTTCTATTGAAGAAGCCTCTCAAAGGAGACATCATGCAGAGTAGAGCCGCATGGAGTGCACTCGACAGTTTTATAGAGAAGGGTAGCAGATTATTTTCTGGTGACATAATACACAGGGGGCGAAAAAAAAGCGACAACCACAAGCGGGCGAGGATAACTGCGAGTCTAACTTGCCTTCACCTGAACACGGGGCCGTATTGCAGTGAAGCCATGAAAAAAAAAAAAAGCATCCGTGAAGAGCTTTTCACTAAGTTTAATTCTTTTGTCTTAAATTAGCTTGACTAAAGACAATGTCTTGAGGCTGCATGCTTTCCTTTTAGCTTCGACATTGTGGTAGTGACGCACGACAAAGTTTTGCGCGCAGGCTTTCAAGGATTTTACGATCGCACGCATGTATCACCACTACATTTCTGTCCTTGCTGCCCGAGCACAGTTCGTAGCCTTATTTAAAACGACAGTATCAGAAACGCGCTTTCAATAACAGCATGCTGAGAATCAACAAAAACTCACCAAGTGGAGTTCAGTAATCTCAGGTGCGGCGTTTTTCGCAGCAGGCCTAGGTGTATCAGGCGTAGTCAGTGCATCCTGAACGGCGCGGCTTTGCGACTCGGCAGTGAAAGGTGGGGCACACGCTTTCTTCATGAGTATCCAACTCGGCGTAGGGGCGTTCGTTCAGTGGGAGGTGGGCGCACACGCTTCTTTCGCGAGTTTCCTACTCGGCGCAGGGCTTCCTTCCGAGCACTTGGCAACAGGCGTAGTGGCGACTCGGCTTCATTGCGTCCTAAATGGCGCGGCTTATCGGCAGTGAGAGGTGGGGGCACACGCTTTATTCACGAGTATCAAACTTAGCGCAGCGCGTTCGGTCAGACGAGCCGCACACGATTACTTCGCGAGCATCCGATTGCAGGGCCATATGCCTTGGCAGGGCTTCCTTCCGCGAGCGCGACCCCCCCCCCCCCCCCCCCCCCCCCGCTAGCTGCAGCAGCAGCCTCCGGCAACGCTATGCGAAAGTGCGGGGAGCGACAGCGCGATGATACAGTTAGGCCGGCGGAAATGCATAGCCTCCAAGAGCGCTACGCTGCGGTGCATTGTGGGGGGGCTCTATCCGCTCGCGCCCGCAAACTTGCGCCCGCGCGCGCGCGCCCGGGGCCGCTCGGGCTGGCTCGGGACATTTAAGGTCCGTTCGATTCGTTTGCACCACGTGAACCAGTTCACGAGGTGCTGTACCTTACCATTCGTTTCAGCGGTGCAGCATTGACGACCGCTGAACCCTGCCATTCGTTTTGAAAGGTGCAGAAGAGGTGCAGCACCGGTTCACGATTTTCCTGCACCTCCTTCGCTGACGGTGCCGGCTTGGTGCAGGCGCGCGTGCAGCTGAGCAGACGACGCAGCACTTAGACGTAGGTGGGTGGCTTAGGCGCCGTACCCGCCTCTACAAATGCGGTGTGTTTTGCCAAGATGTTTGCGACTCATAAATTGTCCGCATGTGCGTTTCGCCATAGGTCAGTGTTTGCTGAATGGTGTAAATTAACCGAAAAAAAAATAAGGCCAACACCTTGTCGGCACATCGTCATTTGTTTCGGGTGTCGTGCTGTGCCTGCACCAAGGAGGATACATTATGTATCCTCCTTGGCCTGCACCGCTGAACTCACGCTGCACAATTTCTGAACTTCGCGTGCACAGCCGTGAACCGGTTCCTACCGGTGCAGGTGAATCGAACGGACCTCTTGATCACGTGCATGTGACGTGGCCACCTGTGAGCCGAGGCGTCCGCGAGTGATCCGGGACTTGGTAAATCGATGAAGCTCATTGATCTGAAAGCGCGCAGATGACAACGGGTGCATGAAATAATTTTTTTTCATAAACTAGAAGAGCCATTTATTCGTTTGTGTAACCTAAAAGTGGTTTCCATCTAATTTTTTTTTATCGTAAAACTGCAAATCGACGCCCGCAACGCGCGTATTCCATTGCGGTCTATGGCTACAGTGTCTAGAAATATACTGCCGTATATTTCTAGACACTGTACTATGATGGTTCCACCCTGTTTTTTTTTTTTTTTTTAGCAATGTGACCGCCGGTGTGGTGACCTACTTTAAGAAAAACAAAAAAATGCAAAAGCAGTTGAGGAATGGAAAACTCGCATAAAATTCAATACTATGCCGGTGCGTGGTATCTATGCATGAGAAATAATTAAGCGGGGCCGTTTTTTGCGTAATTTTGCTTTTAAAGAACATAGCATAGAGGGTAAGCACGAAAACAGAGAACACCACTGCGAAAGCTCGGCCTCAGTTGGACACCCTGAGAAACCCTGACCAACGCCTCCTAGAAATATAATGCCTGAAACGTGGGCCGCGAACGTGCCGCCCTACCCTCAAATTTCAGTCTCTCTCTTTAGTACGGAGGCGAACGCCTATGGCGGTCGCCTTCTGCAAACACAGCAACGCTCTCACTGTTTCCTCCGAGCAACTGTAATGTCACGTGACAAAGCGGTGCAGAGGCAAGCGGTCCCACGCGGCGAACGGTCGCAACACGCAATAGGAGGCATGGCCTCCAAGATTTTGTGCTGGCAGCAAGCTCTCGATCGAAGAGCGAGCCACGTTTCTCTAGGAGGCGTTGCCCTGACTCACTGCGCGCGCGCGCGCGCGCGCGCGGCGTGTGACGTCGACTCGCGAGTTCCACATGGGTCCACCGTAGATGTTCTGTGGGTCCACTGGCTTAGTCACGTTTTTTCGCGTTCTTTACTGGCGTGGCGGGCACTGCCGGTTCATGTAATCATTACCGTTTGTGTTCTCACACGCAGAATCTTGAGTAACATTTAGGAGCGCTTCGCTTATCGTTGCGTGCGCACTGTTACAGTGGGATTCACTCCGGACGTCCAGAAAGCGAAGCGCTTGGGGCCAACATTAAGCCTACGAGCGGTGGATACCATCGGCGTCAACTGACCACGTTGAAGTATTTATAGTTTTAATTTAACGATGGCTTCTACTGGGTATAACTTGGAGGAATCCAACGCTGATAGGAATGTAGAAATCTGGAAGATCAAGAAACTGATCAAGAGCTTGGAGGCCGCGCGGGGGTGAGTGACATTTTCCCATCGGTGTTTGGCATATGTTAGGGTTAAAAACTAAGCCTAGAGTGTCAGACCGGCGTTTTAATGTTGTCATGTGCCGATGATAATTTCTGCGCAGCAATGGCACGAGTATGATCTCATTGATCATCCCACCGAAGGACCAGATCTCCAGAGTGTCGAAAATGTTGGCCGATGAGTTCGGAACGGCTTCCAACATCAAGAGCCGGGTGAACCGGCTGTCAGTTCTCGGCGCTATCACGTCTGTACAGCACCGGCTCAAGCTCTACACGAAAGGTGAGCGCACTTTCATGCGGTGACCAGTGTTTGATGCGTCAATCACTATCCATGCAGTGCCGCCCAATGGATTGGTCATCTACTGCGGTACGATTGTAACCGAGGAGGGCAAAGAGAAAAAGGTTAACATCGACTTCGAGCCGTTCAAGCCAATTAACACGTCACTGTATCTGTGCGATAATAAATTTCACACAGAGGCCCTGTCTGCATTGCTTGCGGATGATAACAAGTTCGGCTTCATTGTGATGGATGGCAACGGAGCCCTGTTTGGGACCCTTCAAGGCAACACGCGAGAAGTGCTGCACAAGTTCACGGTAGATTTGCCGAAAAAGCACGGACGTGGAGGTCAGTCTGCTCTGCGATTTGCTCGACTACGTATGGAAAAGAGGCATAACTACGTGCGCAAAGTAGCCGAAGTGGCCACAACGCTTTACATAAGCAATGATAGACCAAACATTGCCGGCCTCATTTTGGCTGGTTCTGCCGACTTTAAGACTGAGTTAAGCCAATCGGATATGTTTGACCCTAGATTGCAGGTCAAGGTGCTCAAGCTTGTTGACGTGTCTTACGGTGGCGAAAATGGCTTCAACCAGGCCATTGAGCTGTCGGCTGAAGTGCTGTCTAATGTGAAATTCATTCAGGAGAAAAAACTTATTGGCCGATACTTCGATGAAATCTCTCAGGACACTGGCAAGTATTGTTTTGGTGTAGAAGACACACTGAAAGCACTTGAGATGGGCTCTGTTGAGATCCTGATTGCATGGGAAAATCTTGACATTGTGCGCTATGTGCTTAAGAACCACACAAGTGATGAAGAGAAGATACTGCACCTGACCCCCGAGCAAGAGAAAGACAAGACCCATTTCCTGGATCGAGAAACTGGTGTGGAGCTGGAGCTTGTAGAGTCAATGGCACTGCTAGAATGGCTGGCAAATAACTACAAGAATTTTGGTGAGTACTGATAGCGTGTGGGTAATAGCCCTTGCTTATCAATTCTTTTTTCCGTAACAGGTGCCACACTAGAGATCATCACAGACAAGTCTCAGGAGGGCTCACAGTTTGTCAAGGGTTTCGGTGGCATAGGAGGCATCTTGCGCTACCGTGTGGACTTCCAGTCTCTCGAGGTGAATGACCTTGTAGACGACTTTGATTTAGATGACCTGTAAACGCCCATTAGCAGCTCCTTTTGCTCTGTGGTTTGTCGCTGCGGTGCACTGGGAGCTTCCCATTGTTAACAACGCACACATGGCTAACCGCCTGGCCTTCCGTCTGCCCGGGGTGTGCTGCACTGTGGGCCACAAGCGTGAGCAACATTGCAGAAGACAACTCTTGCTACTTTGTCCTTCCCAATTTCTTGTGGCCAGACAGCATGCCCTTCCCTTCATTTGAAGACTGTTTGTGATGGGAGATGATTCCTAGATGAATTGCTATCGAAGCAGAGCTGCCTCTGCTGCCTTTCCTGCACAAGTTGACAACTTTTTTTTGTCACTTTAAAGTGTAGTTGTGGGTCTGGGATGAACAAGATATGTGCCTTTTGGCAGTGAGGCAAGCGGTAAAATGAAATGCCCATGCCAGAAACTTTATTAGAATTTGTATTTTTTACAAATGGTTTGAATGTGTACAAATGGTTTTTTAATGGTGTGTGGCTGTGTCTGTAAAATGGTTCTAAGTTTCTCTAGGCTTGTGGCTGTGGTTATTGCCATTGTATTCTTTATAAGTCACCAATTTTATTGACAAGACCGTTGTTAGCAAGAAAGAGTTTCCAAGTAGACAGGGTATGCACACACCTTGTATGATCCTGGGAGCTATGCAAGAATATAGGCTACTGTCTGTTTTCTCTCATTCTGGCAGCCTAATTTGGTGCAGTGCTTGTTAAACATGTTTGCCCTGCTTTTTTTTTTTTATTGCCTCTTTAAGAGGTGGTGTTGGTATGTGTGAAGTGGTGTGTAAATATATCTATGTGTAAGTTGGTTTATAGGAATTCCTTTGACCTACCGGGCTCTACTTGTATTGTTCTGTGCGGGGGGCTGAAATGAATTGTAAGGAGGCATCGACTACAATGTGACATCTGTGGTGCACGTAAATACAATACCCCCGCATGATGACACTAAATTTTTGTTCAATCAAAGCCAGGAAGGCTTAAGTAACAAGTTTTTTTCTTTTGATGATTGGCCTTTGTTAGAGGTAGTTGAAGACAATTGATGTACCTCGTCACTTTCAGTCAACATTGTCCTGAGCACATAGCTATGAAGGCATACAGAAGAAACATTCTACACATCTTCTGCATGGCTTCAATGCATGTTCAGTAAATTTTTTCTTTGTATATATGGCTGGATGAGATATCTTCGCAATTTTGTAAATCGCTGACGCAGGAGGAAAGTCGGTACCAGCACTAATTTTTTCATGCCAAGGATCTATTGATTGCCCTGATGCTTTGAGCCTGGTAGCGGTGCAAGAAGGCAGAAAAATTATTTGTTCATTGTTGTAGGCACCAAATTGTGAGGGGAGATTTGTCTGCTCAGTGCAGTGCTACTCGTCCGTATGATGTGAATGCATATTTAATGGTGCCCATATTAAGTTGCTGCTGACCCGCAGGGCGCGGGTTCGAATCCCGGCTGCGGCGGCTGCATTTCCGATGGAGGCGGAAATGTTGTAGGCCCGTCCGGAGCCCTCCACTACGGCGCCTCTCATAATGATATAGTGGTTTTGGGATGTCAAACCCCACATATCAATCAATCATATTAAGTTGTCTTAGGGTAATGTATCCTTAATTCGCTGAGCACTGTGTGCATCAGAGCAAAATCATGTTAAAAACATGCATTTTTTGCCATTTTGGCCCAAATAATTTGTCAATCCTAGAATGGGACCCAAAATATAGTAAAATGAGATCTGCCAAATTACGTGTGCTGATGATTATCTTTGTTTACACACTGGAATTATGCAATCCTTTCTAAAAGGGCTTCATGATGTTATCTGGACAAAACCATCTCACTTCAATTTTTCTGTAAATTTTTTCTTTGTATATATGACTGGATGAGATATCTTCGCAATTTTGTAAATCGCTGACGCAGGAGGAAAGTCGGTACCACCACTAATTTTTTCATGCCAAGGATCCATTGATTGCCCTGATGCTTTGAGCCTGGTAGCGGTGCAAGAAGGCTTTATTGCAGAAAAATTATTTGTTCATTGTTGTAGGCACCAGATTGTGAGGGGAGATTTGTCTGCTCAGTGCAGTGCTACTCGTCCGTATGATGTGAATGCATATTTAATGGTGCCCATATTAAGTTGCTGCTGACCCGCAGGGCGCGGGTTCGAATCCCGGCTGCGGCGGCTGCATTTCCGATGGAGGCGGAAATGTTGTAGGCCCATGTACTCAGATTTGGGTGCACGTTAAAGAACCTCAGGTGGTCTAAATTTCCGGAGCCCTCCACTACGGCGCCTCTCATAATCATATAGTGGTTTTGGGATGTTAAACCCCACATATCAATCAATCATATTAAGTTGTCTTAGGGTAATGTATCCTTAATTCGCTGAGCACTGTGTGCATCAGAGCAAAATCATGTTAAAAACATGCATTTTTTGCCATTTTGGCCCAAATAATTTGTCAGTCCTAGAATGGGACCCAAAATATAGTAAAATGAGAAATCTGCCAAATTACGTGTGCTGATGATTATCTTTGTTTACACACTGGAATTATGCAATCCTTTCTAAAAGGGCTTCATGATGTTATCTGGACAAAACCATCTCACTTCAATTTTTCATTCACTGCACAAATATTAGAACATCTGACCAAATTTTGAACAAAGAAGGAGAATAAGAGAAGCATCTCACATTTTCTTTGCCTAGTGATGTCAATCTTGTCATCAATGGCAGCAGGGCTTTGATTGGCAGTATATTAGAAGCTCGCGTAACTAAATCATCGTGTCACCAGTACTTCAAAAGGCAGCATTTTGGGGGTGCATATCGACACTCCTAACTACTCCGAAGGACTTGCTCGAGATTCTATTGTGAGTGGTGGCAAATGGGGACGTGCACAAAAGTGCATGCCCTGAACTTCAAAAGCATAGAAGACTGCTAGATGCAAAGGAAAAAGTTAGTCTCGTTGAAGCAGTAGATTTCATTTGACATTGCTGATAGCTCAATCTCAAAATTTCACCCTTGGATGCACAGTTCATTTTCGTTCTTGCCTAGTGGATGAAATGTCCTTTTGGGGAAGTGCGACACTGAAAAAAAATTTTTCCAATATGTAGCCTAAGGCAATAGAATCTTTGTTTATCATATAGGTTTTTATGCTGATTTCAAATATGTAATCAGTTTTATAGTAACTTGCCTGGTTTTCATTTACCATGATAGAGTGTATTAAGTATAACTCTTTTTGGGCATACTGTTTCTCTATCAATGAACTTTTAAAGTTGAGTTATTAAAAAGACCCTAAAATGGTTTTGGCGATATTGTAAGAACACATTGGGCCGTAAAGCAAGCCCCAAGGGTTATTTAGAGACCTATTTGAGCTTTCTGCGTAAGATGTAGGTCCGTTCGATTCACCACCAATCTGAACCGGTTCACGGCTGTGCACAAGAAGTTCAGAAATCTTGTAACGCGAGTTCATCTGTGCAGGCGCAGCGAGACACCCGAAAAGAATGACCAGGTGTAGACAAGGTGCATGCCTTATTTCTGTTCGCTTAATGTAGGCCGTCCAACTAACACTGACCGATGGCAAACTGCACGTGAGCACAATTTATGAGAGGCAAACATCTTGGCAGGAGACAATGGAATAGTAGAGGCAGATACAATGCCTAAGTGCTGTGCACGCAGCTGCACCAAGCCAGTAATGTCAGCATAGGAGGTCCAGGAAAATCATGAACCAGTGCTGCATCACTCCTGCACCTTTTGAAATAAATGGCATAGTTCAGAGGTTGTCATTGCTGTACCTCTGAAATGAATAGCAAGGTGCAGGACCTCATGAACTGGTTTGTGTGGTGCAGGTCGATTGAACGGACCTTGTGTCATTTATTATGTCCGTTTGATTCATCTGCACCAATAGAAACTGGTTCACAGCTCTGTACACAAAGTTCAGAAAAGCGCGAGTTCAGCAATGTGGGCACAGCGTGACCCCTAAAAGTATGGCTATGTGCCGACAAGCTGGAGGCCTTATTTCTGTTCGCATACTTTACACCGTTCAACTAACATTGACTGATGTGAAACCGTACATGCGGCCAGTTTATGAGGTGCAAACATCTTGGCAAAAACTGCCGCGTTAGTAGAGGCGGGTACGGCGCCTACACCTGATTGCTGCATTGTCTGCTTGGCTGCCCCAAGCAGGCACTGTGAGCATAGCAGGTTCAGGAAAATAGTGAACCACTGTTGCACCTTATGAAATGAATGACTAGGTGCAGCACCTCGTGAACTGGTTCATGTGGTGCAAGCGAATTGAATGGACCTGTTACAACGCTCTAAAGCTGCGAATTGGTGTAGATCGTTGCGACTTGACCAAACGCGTTTTCAATCGCCCATTCACAGAACATGCTCTGGCCACTTGACGTGGCTGCCGATCGGATTGGCCGTCGTGGGTTGTGCAGAGATGCTACCGCTGTGCTAATTGCGCCATACTGCGTCAAATTTCCATGCCTGCTGCACCATGCTACATTTCCTCATAATATGGCAAGTCTGCGTCCAACCTGCGCTAAAGGGTGGGCTCTGGCTTACAGAAAATAAACTACTTGAGGTTCTCCTGTTGAAAGTGACATCACGGTGCACCTGCATAAGACACAACCCGAGTTAAGCCGAGCCAAACTGGGCCAAATGTCACTTTGGGGTGCATTTAAAGGGCCCGTAAACCACCCAAAGGTCGAGATTCAGTTGTGGTGGGGAAATTGTGCATGAGTGTACAACGAACACAGCCGTGATAATTTTTCAAAACAGTGCAGTGATAGCAGCGTTAGGCGCGTTTGATTATCGAAACCCTGACGATCCCTTCTTTCACACTCCCCTGCGCTATCTTCCATGGTATCCTCTCCCACGCCGCTTTGCCCTCTCGAGATTGTTTTTTGGAATTTGACGCGTCAGCGGCTCGCAGTGCTGCCACATGTAGAATCGTTGATCGCGATGGCATTCTGCACACGATGCGCGCATTTACTTGAAATGCTCGAAAAAATATCGGAAGTGGTTTACGGGCCCTTTAAGACCCAATTTTTCGGACTTGGTCTGAAAAAAGATTCATACCTTTTTATTCTGCTCAAGTAATCAAATCGCCACAGCCGCTTCTGAAATAGCTTCAGTGCCTCCCAGAGTACATTTATCGGGCATTTTGGTGCACACTCAGGATCTCCTGTAAATATATTCAGGACCCGCCGACGTTCATTTGCAAATTTGCGTCGCTTAATGAGCACTGATGATACCAGCGAAGCACAGAATAAACTGCAGCTTTATCGTATGGAGCATGTACAAACGATGACGGTGAATATAAAGGGTGAGGAAGAAAAGAGGAATACTTGTCCGGACCTCCGCGATGCGTGTGCCCACTTAGAAGATGCACCACTGTACGAAAATCTTCAGTCTAACTTACCAATTGCTGCCACACAAGACTGATCTTTCCTATAATTACGTGCAGGACATCACGAACACAGCTTACGATGTTCCTACCGGGGCGCTTTTGTACGCACATGTTTGTCATAAAAGTGTGTTCTTGATGCTCTGTTTCTGATTGCACAGGGGCGCGGCGATGGCAAGCTGCTCTCGTTCGTGAAGGCACCGCGTCTGTGCGGTGCACTTAGCAGATTCCCACAGAAAGGCACTGTAGGCGGCGGCACGTGTGGGTGATTAAAAACTTGCAGTGCGCTAACTGCGCCACATTCAGTAACAAGCAGTTAGCTGAAAAAGCTTATTATAAATTGTCTTACTGGCGCGTTTACTGCATTGCTGCCATCAAATGCCTCTGAGCATTTTGGGTGCTTACCCATTAGATGGGCTTACCCACCTCACTGCGCCGTGATGTTGATCCCTTCGGAGATTTTTTTTTTTTTTTCCTGCTTCACCCTGTGGCACTTATGCATTGCGGCAAAGCCGACTTTCAGACATTCCTAAACATAGACAAAAGTCCATAAGGCTTGTGATGCTGTCGCAAATTCGTCCGTATTTGCTAGCATGTCTGAAAAATTTGGCGTCCGAAAAATTGGCAGTCCACTCATCTTTAGTCATGCTGTAATGAAGTACTATAATTTTAAATTTTATCATTGTCTTTCTCTACATGATACGGTTAGGTTATTTGTGGGTGATGTAATTTGCTTTTCATCTATACTACTGTTATGCTTGAATAGCGTGCAGCACATCACAATATTTTCCATTTGTGTGTCATGATCACAGTATCCAAATAACGGCAGGAAGGGGAAGATGGAAGCTTGCGGTGAAAATCCGTAAACGGGGTTGTCGGGCTGGCATTTTGGTAGGCGGACTTGTCTTTCTCAAGGCTAGAACAGTTCAGTTCCAGCCTTGTCGAAATGTCAACTTGATGCAACCCTTTTGTTTACAGATTTTTTCGTGAATTCAGTATGCCTTAAAATTAATTCAAGCAATATCTGCTCCGAAAGCCAGTTTTGCTGCTCCCAAACGCAT